TTATACCCAAAATAACATCAGTAGTTAATTATAACTAAATGAGTCATAACTAATGACCACAAAAAGTAAGGCATATAATACGTCATTTTTTGAAGTGTTATATAGAATTCCCTTATAAATATTATGAAATATGTAAGCATATATATAATAGCGAAACTCTATTCTTTGGTTTATACTTTTCTGTCTTTGATTATGACATGTTGTGTTGTCAGTTATGATAAATTGTGATATTTGTTATGAAATTATTTCGGTTATGATTTAAGAGTTGTTTGGTATACTTCATGTGATGTTTGGTTGTAACGCAATTTTGTTTTTGTTTTTGTTTTGTTTTGTTTTTTGTTTTGTTTTTTTTTTTGGGGGGGGGAGTCTTTACAATTCCCATAGTATTGAGTTATATCATTTATGATAATTAAACTCACAAATAACGTAACTTATATATGATAGCATTACCCTATATATATTTTGGGAAAATTACCACGGTAGTCTCTATACTTTACCCCTTGTATTATTTTAGTTTTTATACTTTCAATTGGCTCGATTTTGATCACAAATTTATGATTTTATCTCAATTTCATTTAATTGATTACAACTCTTAGCATTTTTTAATGAGAAATGTGCATATAAGTGTTACGTGCCGTATTTTTAAGGTTAAATTGTAAACTTATTCAACTCAGTTAGGTAACCTCAATCAATTTAGTGATAATTGTCCTTAAAAAGGCTAACAATATTATTAATTGGACCAAATTAATAAAATCTAAAATTAGGAGTTAAAATTGAGCTAATTGATAGTGTAGAAACCAAAATGACACAAGAAGTAGAATATAGAGATCACCACCGCAATTTGCCTTTTTTTGGTATAAAGGAAGATCAACTTATTATATTCAGCCGATAAATCATAACTGGACATATGATACGCTTTTATTTTTTTATTTTTTAACAAGTTTATTATAAAATTTTCTTGTAAATATTATGAAATTTGTATATATATTTATAATAAAGGATGATCAACTTACTTTACACATTTAGCCCAAGAAGACTAGAGAACTCTTTTTCGTCGCTGTCGTAATCAATTTCAGCCAGGTTTGTGTAACGCCCCAAATTTTTAGCCCAAATGATAATACAACAATCATGGCTCTTTAAAGGAAAACCGAAATAAATTCCCATACTTGCATTACATGATACAAATAGTTCTCATGCGATAATACATTCAGTTCAAAACAAAACAAAACAAACAAATAGATACCCTCAAGGGTTTACAAGTTTCCAAGGCCTAAGCCCGGTTACACAAAACGGTTTTTCAAACCCACACAAATACAACCCTTGGCTTACAAAACAGAGTCACACAAAATGAGAGCATTGTACTCCCAACACACACACTTCCATGCCCCTAGTTGGGTGGAATCACCACATCTTTTCCTGTACAAAAATCCCGTAGGGTGAGCATAAAGCCCAATAGGAAATTCTTAACAAAGTATATACATTTTATACAAGTCTCAAGAGATGAAATGTACATGTCATGCTATGCCATTTTTAAAAGTAATTCACATCTTTATCTTTTGAAAACCATCATGCTCAATGATGTTATGTAATTTCAATAGCTCAAAACTTAACAATTTATTTCAAGGACGGTAAATATGGCTCTGGTAATCTCTAGGTACGTGTCTGCAAGTAGTCTATACAAGTATTATCAATTTGTCATTTTTACCGATATTAACCGGAAGGCTCGATACCTATCCGTGTAGGTTTTCGGTCTTTCACCTCGGACACTTAGGCCAACTTATCAATTTCATCTATACACCTTTCAAGACTTACCATCGTACTTACCCCAAAATCATTTCATGAAAACCCGTTTTCAACATTTTTTTCTCAATGCAAGGTTTTCAAATCAACGTTCAAAGCTCAACATAATAAATGAATTGATATGCCTATGAAATGATTAAATGCAGTATAACATTTCTTCCATTTTCAATACTTCCGCACAATAATTCCATTGTGAACAATTCTCCCATTTCTCTTTTCAAAACAATAATATCACAAGATGAATATATAAACTTAGATTTCCAATCCATCCAAGAAATAACATAGTTTCCACATTTAGGGCATTTTCAATAATTTAGTCATTTCAAGACTACAACAACATTCTGAATAATAACTTCACAAATCAAACTCTTCATATTTCATGAAACTCGTCATTTGTATAAATACAAATCAAGCTTTTCCAAAACATTCCTTCATTTTAATCTCCAACAAAAATATGGCTATTTTATTTATAAAATCTCAACATCTTTTTCAAACTCAAACTTCTAGGTTTTCTCATCAAAACCAACCATCTCCAAGATACTTGAAGGGATCTCCCCAAAAACAACTTTCATCAACCAATATAGTTCAAAACCATAAATTTCTATTTTTAGAAGAAAAAGGGAAGTAAACCCACTTTCAACATCACTCATCTTCTTGAATCGAAAATCAATTTTCAAAACTAATCAAAGGGTGATTTCGAAAATCATCTAGATCCTGCAAAAATATATATAACTCAAAGAAAATCCCTACCTCAAGTTTGAAGAAGAAAAGAGCTGAAACCCCCAAAATTTACGGTGTCGAAACTCTATCTCCATCGCATGCAACGAAGTCCTCGAGAAGTTATACAACATTGATGAAGGAACTATGGCAAAAATCCCAATGGATTTGGAGAAATCAAAGAGAGAAGATGATTTCTAGAGAGAGAAGCTCTAGATTAGGATTTTTGAGAGTTTTAGAGAGAGAGGGGCTGCAAGAAGTGATATGAAACCCTAATTTTACTGACTGATATAACATGGTCCGCTCGAGCATGAAATGCCCAGTCAGCTCGCCGAAAGCAAAAATGTAAAATGCATTCGAAATTGCTTACAGGAAAGTGTCTTTGATGCTCGAGCGGGGCTTTCCACGCTTGAGCGGACCTTGTTATATCAGTCCATAAAATTAGGGTTTCATATCACTTCTTGCAGGCCCCTCTCTCTCTAAAACTCTCCAAAATCCTGATCTAGAGCTTCTCTCTCTAGAAGTCACCTTTTCTCTTTGATTTCTCCAAATCCATTGCGACTTAAGCCTAAGTTCTTCACCAAAGTTGGTCATCACCTCGAGGGCTTCAATCTGTGCGGTGAAGATCGAGTTTCGACACTGTTGATTTTGGGGGTTTGATCTCATTTCTTCTTCAAAACTTGAGGTACGGATTTTCTTTGAGTTATATATATATATATATATATTTTTTTTGCAAGATCTAGATGGTTTTCGAAATCATCCTTTGATAGCTTCAAAAAAATTATTTTTATTTAAGAAGTTGAGCGATTTTTGAAAGTGGGTTTATCTCTTGTTCTTTTAAAATAATCTTATGGGTTTTGATCTTTGTTGATTGAAGAAAAGATGATTTTCGAGAGTTTTCTTTCAAAAGATTTGAGCTGTGTAGTTTGGTGAGAAAACCTAGAAATTGGGGATTTTAAAAAAAGATTGAAAATCCATGGGTAATATTGTTATATTTATTTTTGTGTGCCAAAATAAATGATGTTTAGAAAATTTCTTATTTATATTTGTATAAATGATTAATTTTCTTATTTATATTTGTATAAATGATTAATTTTGTGGATTATGAGAATTGTTGTTCATTTTAGAAATGGTTATTCAGAATGTTGATATAGTCCTGAAATGACTAAATTGTTGAGAATACTTGAGAAGAGGAAATTGTGTTATCCCTTAGATGAATTGAAATAAAAGTATTTATTCATCTTGTGAAATTGCATTGAAGTGAGAAATGAGAATTTTGATCATAATGGGAATATTGTGTGGGAGTATTGAAAGTGGAAGAAATATTGGATTGTATCATTAATTATTGCATTGGCATATCACTTCATTTGATAATGAAAAACTTTGAAATTTGATTTGAAAACTTGCATTGAGAAAAGAATGTTGAGAAATAAGTTTTCATGAAATGGTTTTGGGGTAAATATGTTGGTAAGTCTTGATAAGTGGTGTAGATGATATTGAATAAGTTGGTCTACGGGTCCGGGGTGAAAGACCAAAAAATCTGCACGGATAGGTGTCGAGCCTTCTGGTTAATACCGGTAAAAAGGACAATTTGGTAGTACTCGTATAGTCTACTTGCAAACACCAGCCTGGGGATTACTAGAGACGTATTTACCGCCCATGAAATAAATTGTTAAGTTTTGAACAATTGAAATTGCATGACATCATTGAGCATGACGATTTTCAAAAGATAAAAATGTAATTTATCTTCAAAAAGGGCATAGCATGGCATGTGCATTTCATCTCTTGAGACTTGCATAAAATGTATATACTTTGTTAAGAATTTTCTACTGGGCTTTATGCTCACCCTACAGGATTTTTGTGCAGGAAAAGATGTGGTGATTCCATCCAACTAGGGGCGTGGAAGTATGTGTGTTGGGAGTACAATGCTCTCATTTTGCATGACTCTGTTTTGTAAGCCCAGGGCTGTATTTGTGTTAAGTTGAAACTCCATTTTGTGTAACCAAGAATGTTCTTGGATAAATTTGTAAGCCTGTAGGGCACTTATTATTTGTTTGGCTTCCATTTCATACTTGTTATAAATTGCTTGTTTGGGATTAGAACTGGGGCACTGAGATGTGAACAATATGTATTTGGCATTTGGGATTTAATGGGAATGGGCATATGGATTAGTTAGCTATATATATATATATATGTGTGTGTGTGTGTGTGTGTGTTTGTCTATTAGGTGGGTTTTGTTGCATAAATAGATATATCATGTCCAATTTTCGGGGCGTTACAAACGTCATCGCTACATTTCTTAACTATCCATGATTTTGTATCATTAAAAGCTTCTTCCAACTTTTTCTCTGTGAAAGGACAAACAATACGATTCCACTTATTCCTAACTTCTCTCATTCTTGAAAATTGCTCCATTAGTTTCACCTGTATAGCATCAACAAGACTAGTTGAAAACAAATGCCGTTCATCCCTAATCCATGAATCTAAAGATTCTGCAGCATTTGTGCATATTTCACCATACCTCTTGCCTTGAAATAAGCGTTACACCAACACTCATTAGGCAAATCCTTAAGAAACTTCTCAACACTACGACCACAACAACCCTTAAATTCTTCAAATAGCTCATTAAACAACTCAATAGTAGGAGCATATGCACATCTACTAAAAAGAGTAAGCAAATACTCTTTAGATTCACGACTCTTCACTGACAAATAAGTCTTCAAGTTTGTCTTCAAATGCATTAGACAGAAAGAATGAGAAGAAAACGGAAAGACCTCAGCTAAAGCTTTCAGCAAACTTCCATCCCGATCAATAACAAACGCAATATCCCTTCCCAGAGTCAAAATAACAAATAACTTTGACAGGAACCAATGCCAACTATCATAACTTTCACTATCAACAATGGCAAAACATAACGGATATAGACCTACAAACAAAATATATATACACGTTATCAATAATACTCAATAATCAACACTCTCCAGTAACAAAAATGATAGATTATCACTATTTTAATAATAATAACAAATAGACATAGAATATACCTTGGTTATCGTCTTTTGCCGTAGCAACTAATAAACAACTTTTGTGTCTTCCTTTCAAGAAAGTTCCATCAAGTATTAACACAGGCCGACAATACTTGAAACCATGAATACATGCCTCAAAAGCAAAAAACAAGCATTTGAAATGTCTTCCTTTACTATCAACATCAAATTCCACATAAAAAACACTCCCCGGATTACAATCATCAGCGGCATCAACATACCAACGAAGATCGTCAAATGATGATAAATAGTCACCAAAAACAAGACCCCTTGCTTTTTCAACACCCATCCAAACTCGCTGATAAGAAACTTCTGTTCCATAATAGTCCTTGAAATCACAAACCACCTCATTAATCGATGTCAAAGTCTTATTACGAATATCACTCGAAATTTGCCCACCAATCATACTTGAAGTCATCCTAGCATGTTTAACTATACGAAAAAAAGATCCACAAGTATGAACATCATCAAATTGTTTAATAACAAAAGCTTTGCTATAATTTTCCACTCTAGCATGCACGCTCCATAAACATCCCAAATCAGCCCTTCTCTTACAATGAACAGTGACACGATCCTTATCATTCTTAACAAAATCAAAATCAAAACCGGAATGAATAGAATACTTTGACAACGCATCTCGAAATTCAACAACTCCTTGAGCAAACCTTTGTCCCAATCCTTTCATACAATTAACCCACCCATCGGAGAGCAAAGGTTTCCGTTGATTTGAATAAAATGAAGGCAAAAAATCAGTTTCACAAACAACACTACTACTACTACTATTACTAGCTTCACCATCACAAATCATATAACCTTCACCCATAGAACAACACTTTACAAAAACATCAATACGATGAATATCACAAGAAAGTGCAAGTCCAACCATAACCTCCAAATCCTCTTCACTTTGTAGACCACAACAAGAATGCCCAGGCATTGAATATGATATATTCAAAGAACTACCAACTAACTCACTCCACTTTGCACACAATTTATATACTAAATCATTGAAATTAAATCCATCAGTATACTTGATAACCAATGTCACACCTTTAAACTTGCACATAAGAAACAAACAATTCTTCATCACTATAAACAACAATTATATTTCAGCAAACAACTCAAACACCCTAAAACAAAATCAAATACAGTGATAAAATTATCAACCAACTCAAGCACATCCAAAAACCAACACTGATAACTTTAACAGTTAATACCACCAAAGACCAAGAGGAGTGAATAAGGCTTACACTTATTAGACATCGTAACTCGATTTGAATCTTACCATTACATTATGCAACCTTTTCATCTCCTATTCCCATACTCACTAATAAATTTATCAATGTTGAAAAAGTTAATCCAACAACACCCCCAAAATACTCAGTGATAAAATTATCACTGTATAAAATAACAAACCAGCACCTGTGTTCAATCAAGACAATTTTGTAACAAAAAAAAAGAAAAATCTAAAATTCTTTACATATACATATCTCAAAGCTTTCAATATCATGATCAAAATACAAATTCAATAACAACAACAACAACAAAGTAATAACAACATCACAACAAAATCAAAATCACCAACTGCAGACGTCCCCGAACGTCCCGGGAGGAGATCCCGTTTTGTTCATTTGGGATCACTACAGTTTAGGACTCAAAGTCACGGTCCTGTATCTAATCTCACAGAGGGCAATGCAAGACCGATGAATCATCAAAGAGTCGAAATCCGACAAATCATTTTTGAAAACAGATTTTTTGAAAGAAGTGTCAAACATGGACTGCTTTGCCCGATACAGAGTCGCCACCTAAATATTTTATTTTGAAAAATTTAGGAAACCCTGACTCGTTGCCTAAGGCCACGTGTCCGTCATCACCAAAGTTGCTTCGGCTCGGGAACTTGGGTACGATTGGGGAAGGTCAGTTCGCGAGCACCCCCGCTCGCCCGAGCAAAGATCGGCCTCTACTAACCATGATATCTAGTTTTGAAAACATTATGTGCTCTTATTCTGGTTATTAGCCTAGATTTACTATGTGATACACACAGCATACAAATATAGACTGGGTCGCCTGAATTGGAACGAAACATCTCATGTTTGCTTTGAAAAACGGTTTGCTACTCGCAAGTAGGCTAAAATGTGGGTTTGCCACCCTCAGGTGGGCTTTAGAAAACACGATGATTTGCCACTATCTAGTGGGCTTAAAACACACAGTCAATGCATTATTTCAATTCAGATAATCCAACCTTCACCCACAGGCATTTAGGCAGTTATATCACATAAGCACATAGCCTCATGGTAAGCATGCTATCATGATAGTCACTCACCTGCATGCAAGGATGCTAAAGCATAAACACTTACGGAGTACTCCAAGCCAAAGAGAGAAGCTAATTAGAAAACATGCATGAATCCTAACTATGCTGAGATGCCTAATGCAACACATGCAAAAAATGCAACTATAATAGGCTCGGCTATTCTAAGAATGGCATATGAGATGCTACAGCTAACACGTATTTAACTTGAAATTGAAATACGATGCAGTTGGTATGATGCACCGAGCCCGGTGCATGCAAGACAGATGAATGGATGCAAACATGCGAGCATAAGTATGCTAATTGAAACATGCCCTAATCTAACCATCATAAGCTGATAAATAAAAGGGAGAAAGACGTGGGGTTGGAAGATATACATCACACACACGCACACTTATTACAATTGTGCCCTCGCTCTGAGGGTCCGAATAAATAATACAGTCCGAATAAATAATTAACCACTCTAGCTAATTAAATATTACAAGACCCTAATTAATTAACAAATTAACTAGGAAAGCGAATAAACTAGCATGCAAGCTATAAAAATGGACTGCCTCAGCTCTTGTTCCGAATGATGAAAAATGCATGCATGCTCGAGTTGCCTCGTCGGAAAATTCCTCGCGATGCTCCGATTTGCCTCTGTTTGCAATTAGTCCCGGAATGTTGTGCAAAGCTCTAGAAGGTTGCTGATTTATGATTTGCTGCAACAAAGAGCAAGAAAGGGGCATGGCAAAGTATTTTCACATATGTATGCACACCTCGATCCTCGTGCCACCAATCACTCATCTCGATACATGATGGCCAAGGAGTCGAATTGCACGACTCGATGTGAAATGAATGCACATGACAACACAACAAGGCCTAGACTCCATCATGGATAATGCGGAGTGTCGGTGATCAGGAATTGAGACACATTCCGTCACTTCGGGTACGGAACGTCCCTCACTTCCCGTGTTTGGGCTAACTCCTCTCCCAAACACAATGCAATGAGATGGCATACACAATGCGACTAACATGCAACCTAACATACGCAATGCTATGGACTAAAATGGCATACACAATACACGATGGACTTACGCCAATATGAGTGGACCTCAGCCACACTCACATCAGTGGCCACATGATGGAAATAAGACAACCGAGATACATGCAAACATGCACGAATGCAAAGGACCGAACCTAAGGTAGCAAATGCAACTCTACCAAAGCATGGCAAGGGATGAAAGATGGCCTACGAACATGCAATTTCCAGCTCTGAAACATGATGCACAATGGTCCCGAATCATGAAAATATGTCACCCAATGCAAGCTAGATGGCCCGAATTTCAAAACTAGTGAAGTGTGTTACACTAATGGTACACAAAGCAATGCACGAATGGCGAAAACAACTCCAAATGGACCCTAGGCAGGTCTGAAATAGTGGGGAAATGGCCTAATATGATGGCTCAGAATGCAAAGAAATGGAGCTCATTCAATGGTCGGTAAATGAGGCATACAGGCCCGACTCTCAAATGCATTTAAAGAGTATAAAACATGAGGATATGGCATTCAAGTAGGCTCTGAAATATGATGCAAAATGACTCCAAAGCATGAAAACACCTCAGTATATGCATGCAATAGACCTCAAATCTCAAAGCTAGGCAAGTGTATTGAACTACAAGCATGCAAACAAGCATCATTCAACCATAAGACCCAAAAATGGAGCTAGGGCAGTCCAAAATACGCACAAAATCAGTTTAAGACAAGGCCAAAAAGTGCTAAAATCAAGGGTCAACAAAGCATGCAAAAAAAGCTAGTGAACCATGATTTGCACTACAGCTATATGAAGCATATGAGAGCTCACCAAACCAGCCAAAAATAGAAGTATGCCATGGAAAATAATGCCCAAAAACCCACTGAAACTCAGCCAATGCATGCAAGAATGATGTGCTCATTTGGAGGGCCATGCAAGGGGTTGTTCTACACATACAAGATAGACATACAAAATGGAAAAACCACCTCCGGAAAGAGGTTATGAGGGTCCTAAAACTCATCAAAAATGGCCTGAAATGAAGCTAGGAAGCATGCAAGTAAAAGCCCCTTTGAATGGCCTTGAATAGGATTGCTCTACACATGCATAATAGACACTTTATATGGAAAAATGGGCTCTGGATAGAGCCTATGCAGACCTTAAAACTCACCAAATAGGGCCTGAAACATGGTTTCAAAACATGCAAAATGGAGCTCCTTTGTAAGGCCAAAAGGGCCAACAAACAGGGCAAGGAGAGAAGGGGTCAACCCCCCTCTGATTTTGGCTCTCAAAATAGTACACTAGCCACTGAAAATCCATTGGATTTCAGTGGCTAGAAGGCTAAACAAAGCACAAAACCAAGGCCTAGATGCAAGGCTCAAAACAAGATGCAAACAAGCATGCAAGGGGGTAGATGACCCCCAACAGAAAAATGACCTTAAACAATCTTCAAGAGGAGCTCAAAATAAGACTTTTTCTAGTTTATGCCAAGGCTCGAAAATTCTTGCAAGTAAGGCTAAGATATGACGTAAAATATGCCTTAAAAGAGAGATGGAGCATACAAGGGGGTAGATGACCTCTAACCAAAAAATGTCCTTAAACAAACTTAAAGAGGGACTCAAAATAAGATTCTTTTCAGTTTGTGTCAAAGCTCAAAAATGCTTGCAAATGGAGCTAAGATATGAAGCAAAATAATGCTATAAAGAGGGAAATAGAGAGTTACCCTTGTAGAGAAGAGAACCAGCAGCTTCCGGACCAATGTAGCAAGCCTTCAACCTCTAAAAATTATCTCCAAGGTACTTAGAGTGGTAGTGGAGGTGTTGTGCTTGGAGGTGTAGTTCAAATGGCCAAGAACTACGGAGTTTTGAAGCTTGGATGTAGAGAGATAGAGAGAGGTGTATGCAATGCCTTAGCCAAATTTTCCAACCCTTGAAAATGAAGAGGAGGGCCTCTCTTATAGGAGAAGAGGTCCAAGGCTTCTTGAAGAAACCTCAAGCACAAGGACCAAGCTTCTAAAAGAAGCTAAACCAAAAGGGTCAAGCTTCTTGAGGAAGCTAGACCAAAGGGGTCAAGCTTCCTCAAGAAGCTTGACAAAAGGTCAAGCTTCTCTTAAAAGCTAAGTAAAAGGGACCAAATCTTCCTTAAGAAGGCAAAACAAAAGGGTTAATCTTGGAGGATGGGGCAAATGCCTCCCAGCTGGCACAGTTGTATTGCACTCAGGGAGACAAAAAAGGAGATGGCTGGCCGACCAGTTCAAGTGGTCGGCCGACCACTTGCCCTGGTCGGTCGATCAGGGGTCAAAAGGGTCAGGTTGAAAAGGTGGTCGGCCATACCAGATTGGTGGCCTCCCAGATGAATGTAACACAATGGTGGTATGGGAGACCAGAAATTATGGCCCAAAAGTGAGGGAGACCAAGGGGTCAAAGGGTTCAAGAAGAAAAGGTGGTCGGCCATACCAGATTGATGGCCTCCCAGATGAATGCAACACAATGGTGGTATGGAAGACCAGAAATTTTGGCCCAAAAGTGAGGGAGACCACTTACCTGCCAAGAAAAACCAGCTAGCACAGTTGTATTGCACTCAGGGAGACAAAAAAGGAGATGGCTGGCCGACCAGTTCAAGTGGTCGGCCGACCACTTGCCCTGGTCGGTCGATCAGGGGTCAAAAGGGTCAGGTTGAAAAGGTGGTCGGCCATACCAGATTGGTGGCCTCCCAGATGAATGCAACACAATGGTGGTATGGAAGACTAGAAATTATGGCCCAAAAGTGA